ATTTTCAAAACAAAGATGGATTCTGAAAATGATGTACTCGTATCTGTAATGTAAAAGCTACCTAAATATCAGAAAAATAGTAACTGTAATTTACAAATAAATTGCTTGTCAAAGCTACCATAATTTTTATGTTACTTTAACCACATTAAATAGCATACGGAATAAAAAAACGCATACCAATAAAAAAAATATAAAAAATTAATAGAAAAACACTAAAAAGATCTGAAACTTTCTTTGGACTTTTTAGAAACTCGAATGAAAAATTTTATAGGAAACATAACCACTTCGCCCATTCCTCAACAGAAAATTGAAGAAGTATTTACCATTTACTTTTTTCCTACTATTTCGGGGCACCATGTATATATCTGACCTTCCACATTCTTAACAAACAATATTAATTCCTTTTGTATTAAATCCATAGAGAAATTAGACAAAGAAATGTAACAATTGTCTGTAAGAGGAAATAAGATCTATGCTTGCAGCTACGATTAATATGCAGAATAATTCGCAATTCAGACTTCGAATCAAATTAATTTTCACCCGTGGAAATCTCCAATTTTCCTTATGCAGTGAGTGCAAATTTCCATTTGGTAGTTTCGGATCTAGTCTGCGGTTTCTCGGATTCAGTGAACCGACAGCATATTATTTGAAATGCTGGGCTTCATAAATTAATTAATCTATATCTCCCGGAATGACATCTCCTATATCTACAACGAGGCAATATTTAATACGTGCTGACGCTCTCTGGGGACTTTGAGGATATATATCTCATTTTTATTAGGAGAAGTTGACGCTGGAAACCTATTTTTCAAGTACAATTTTCTGCACTCCATTTTTATAATATTCATATCATTTTGAATTTCGTCATTTGTCATGATATTTCATTGTGCTATATTTTGAAGCACGCGATAAATTTTAAAAGAAAACTTCTTTTCAGTAGTTTTGCTTTTTGTACCTGGTACATTTTTTTGAATACTTACAATATACAGGGTGTTTCTGAAATAAGTGCGTTCCTTGAAAAGAGTGATAAAGGACACGAAAATGAGCAAAAATTGTTTCCATGTGCTAATAAACATGCCTCCAAACGACGCGCGACGGTCAAAATTAGTTCGCATACGTGCAAATACTCCCGACATTTGTTGAATTTCATTGACAATAGACGTTAGGTACACATTTTGTTTCCTACACCCTAAACAAAAAAAAGTCCAGATGGTTTATATCCGGACTTCGTGCTAGCCAATGTACTGGGACATTTCGTCCTATCGGATTTATAAAGGGACGTCTTCCAACAAATTCGGAAAGGCGTTTGCTAAAAACTCTAAACTCTCTTTAAACGTACAGGCGACAGTATCGGACGGGGTAATCTGTCACCAAAAACACCACACCACACATTCACTGAAAACCGTTGCTGGAACCGAGATCTCTGTACAATGTGAGGATTTGCATCACACCAACATTGAATGTTGTAAAAATTTATTATGCCGTCTCTAATAAACAACATTCATCCGTAAAAAGTACCTTGCTTGAAAAATCCGGATCTTGTGCTATGCGAGTACAAAAATCCGGATCTTGTACTGTTGCTGATCCGACACATACTGGCCGTGCACGTGCACAAGATGCACATGGCTTACATTTATGGTTAATTTTCTTAATTAAATTTTTCGAAAATAGCAACATTTATTTAATAAAAGTTGCTCATTTTCGTGACCTCTATCACCTCTGTCAAGGAACGCACATATTTCAGAAACACCCTGTATACGTCAATGTTTCCTTTTTTTTCAATAGTTTTTTTAGACATCCATAAATAGTTTTATCACCTAGAATAATTCCCTTTATTAATTATTATTATTGCTACTCGTATAAGCAAATGACATACTAACGATGGCAAAAATATAAACCTCACGAATTACAGTCACGAACTGCAGACATAAAAAAATTTTCTAAGTAGTTATAATAAAGTAAATACCGTTTTTTAGTTTAATTTTCATATTTGAGTACCTTTCGTATTTTACTTATTTCAATTATGAAACATCGGTAGATTATTATTTATTTTAATATAGATTTTATTTATTACGTATGCAAAATGCAATAATAACAGAGGTAGTATAAAACTGAGAAGAATTTTTGTAGTGGTTTCGAAGAAACACATAAAATAAAAATTGAAAATTGAATTTCGGGACCTAGCCATGTCTTTATTAACAGAATACATATTTATATCAAAGATTTAGGCAACCTGGTGGCGCCATTCGATTTTACTCGCTCTTCCACGTAACCACCAGAAAAATAAGTAATTGGAAATAAATAGTATAATAAAATATAACTAAAAACTAATATAACTAAATAAAAACTAATACAACATACAACTAATACAACTACATAGTTCTTTGTGATAAAATTAATTGTTTTAGATGTTTGCGAAAAGATGATGCAGTGGGGGCATTTTTGATATTAATATCGATTCTATTATACAGCTTTGCGGCATTGTAGGAAAAAGATTTTGAATACTCGGCATAGCGGTGCTTCGGGACAGTATACAGATTCCGGAATATTGTGGTGCGGCCATAAATAACATAACGTTTCACAAGCTTGTCATGTAAATATGCAGAAGATTTGTTTTCATTGACTTTATAAATTAGGTATCAAATGCTTTGCTTAGGTAGAGCAGAATTAAACATGTAGGTATTATAATTGTTATCATTCGATCTAAATATGTTGTCAGTAACATCTAAGAGATCTGTTTCAGTGCTGTGATGCTCCCGAAACCCAGATTGATGGGAAGGTACCAGTTTATTCTTTGTAAGGAAATTATTAAATTGCTCAAATATAATTTTTTCTAAAACCTTAGACAGAGTTGGTAGCATGCTGATTGGTTTAAAGTCAACTAAATCCGATGAACTGCAAGTTTTAATAATCTTTGCTAAATCCTTAGTGTATATGTTACGGCTAAAGTGAAAATTGCTGAGTTTGTAAACTGGCTGGCTAGTATACAAAGTAACTGAACCTTCGGCTATTTTGATAAAAAACGCATATTCCACAATATTAGCGGATACTTTATAAACTAACCCACTCGCTTGGCTAATTTACTTGAAACATATACAATTATTTCCTACATAGAAAGGAAAGGACATAAAGTTGGTAAAATATTACGTGAGTAACTCCGCACACACGGATATATAAATGTCACTAAAAGGTATTGATTGAAGTAAAACTCACTACACCGTTGGGTAATAAGTTCCATATACATAGTTATGAGATGAGACGAATTCATCACGTGTAAGTCTACTCACTTTATTTAAAATTGAAAATGAAACACATTGATTTAATAAGATTGCAATCACAATCCAACTTCAGAGACGGAAATGCAGATCCATATGCCAGTATAGTTAGTTTTTAAACAGGAAATCATTTTTTATTTTATCAACAAGATTATTTTATAGTATTACGAAATTATTAAAGTGTAGAACTCTCAAACCTTTGCTAATTCCGACCCCACTATTTAATTTTTGTTTAAATTTTATAAGAATAATGAGCATATGTAACATTTTATTGAAATTCAGGTTAAGAAATGTTTGAATAGCCAAGTATGTATTTGATCTTATTACTAAAGCTAAAGTGAAATAAGTTACAAATCTTTCGGAAATGTCAGACATCTGCATTATAGACTAAAGTCTAATAGTTGTATCTAACACTTGCTGGCCTAAAAAATTGCATTGGCGTACCTTTATTTTACTAGCAAATACTTTTGGATGTACCAGTCTACTTTTTGAGCTAACTTTCACAAAGCCAAATAATCATATTTGCTTTTATCGACGAATATTTTACTTGTTTTGACTAAATAAAAAATATTTTCTATGTTAACTTGAACAAATTCAAACAGTCATAGAAATATTCGTCATATACAGTAAACTATGAAGCCAATGGGCCATACTTTAAGAACGACTTTCTTAGGGGAAAATAAACAGATTTAAATCAAATTACCTTAATACAGACTTGATTCCTTAAAAAAATATAACTTTAAAACTTTCTTTTTACTTCATTTTCTGTTGAAGATATTTTATGGGCACAGCAGAATGTAAATATAAGCTTATTTTTTATTTTTTTAATCTAAAACAGAGACGTCGCTAAGATCACAAGTGGGGGGTATTCTGATCTTCACTTGTTGCTAAATTTGCTACTAAACTCATATTTTTTACGATTTGGACCAGTGTCACTGCCATTCAACAATCAACATATACTTGATATAGCCGTGATGGTTTAATTTTGCGATACTACATTCAAAAGCCTATATGTTAATAAAGACAGATTTTTTTTATGGAGATAGGGAAATCCAAATCGTTAAAAGTATCTAGTTTAGTTGTAAACTTAACAAAAAACTATGTTGTACTAGAATACTCCCGATCATACAAAATCAAACACACATTTTTTAAGGTAGATATCTTTATTTTCTCAAGATCTCTACCAGTGAATATGGCAAAAATGGTACTATTTATAGTGTTCTTAAAGATCTCTGTTTTAGGTAAAAAATAAGCTCTTTCATGGATATGTTTTAGAGGTGAAGCTGTTAATTTGAAAACGATAACTATTATTTAATCAAAGTAATTCGTTAGCTATAAGCATATAAACATTTATTTATACATGTTAAATAATAGTATCTAATGAGTTCATATTTCCATACTGATTTTTCCAAAATTGCAAACATATTGTTCTTTATTCGCGGCAACTCACTTTATGCATTACATACATACATAGTTTAAAATTGCAACTCCATCACTAACTAACAGTATTATTTCTCGGGACTGTGCCAACGGCAACTTAAAATTAAATCTTAAGTATAGCTGGTGTCCAATTTCGTACTGTATTATACGTTTAGAATAGATAATGCAGTAGTGAAAAGACCGAGACGATCCGGAATTTAAACTTATTCAGTAGCTTCCATGAAATATATTATTTCCTTCTGTAGTAGGAATACTATTTATCTCCCCTTTTTTCTTCTTTTTTAGGTATCTTGTGGGAAAATTTATGGACGATCTGATACTTGGAAACCTGGATAACTGGCTAGGAAGTGTAATAAAAACAAGGGTCTGACAATAGCAGTGTATTTAGTGATTTGTTATACTCTATTTTAAAGTATAGTACCGTTAAAACTGCAAAATTAAAATAATATATATAATATATATATAAATATACAGATTATAAAGGTATTAAAATCAATATAAAGGTAGTTTCCTAAATAATATTTCAAAGGTCTTACTTACCATATTTAATTGCACATAAAGTATGTTCCACTTTGAGCATCACCAACTTCGTATTTTAAAACACGTGAGTCGATTGTGGATGAGATATAACTTATAACGTATATGTAAGTACGTATAATTTAATGAAAACGATGCATGCAGAGAAGAAATTTTTCTTTCTGACCTAATTTTATAGCCCATTATGTTAAAATAAGGTATCAAGAAATGGAAAATCGTATTAGTCATTTTTTTTTAAAGAAAAAAAATATTAGCCAAATTGAATTATAGTGATTTTCCATAGATCATACAAGACGTTTGCTCTAATGCTCCTTTATTAAGACAAAAATTTATCATATTCAATAACAAGATATAGTTTTTGTACAAAGAGGTAAAAAAAATTCTGCCACCCACACAGCAAAAAATTACAGTGTAAATTCAAAATTATTTATGAATGAATTTATTTTGGTGTTGCAATTTTAAACGAACTTAAGATTTTAATGTTGTAATCAGAAATTGATTTTAGTTACTATTAAGTGTGGTATACCGATATGACACACAGTAGTAAGCTAACTTAAAAGTTTTTCAATGTTATTCGTATAAGATTTATTTAGCAAACAAATAGTTGATTGAACATTAGTCAATAAATAATGATTTTATTTCAACACAATTTGGCGGGGATTCGTTTTAACATAGAATTGTTTTGATTTTGAAAGAAAATTTACTCATTTTTTGCAGTGTTTTAGAAACAATACAGTAAGCACTATTAATCACTAGTGTTCAATATTATGATAAACTAGTTTACAAATAAATTGAAAGAATATTAAAAATACCAACATTAAATAGGATATTTTTTAAGAAAAAGTAAATATTGCAAAATATATATGTATATGTGATCTTAAATAATAACTAAAAATAAATCACAGAATTATCAGAATAATTTATTTAATATTATAGTAGTTGCCTGAGGTGGTCATTACTTTAATGGCTTTCTGCATTTCATCTAAAATATTGTCACAAACTCTAACTTAAGATAGCTCGCTATAATGAAGTGTGTCCAAATATTGCATTAAATATATGTGTTTAGTAAAGCAGTATATCTTAAGTCGCCCCGTCCGTTCTAAGATACGAGGATGTTGCTACTCAAAGCGAAACACATGTCTATAAGGAACGTTTTAAGTAATGAGGTTGTTGCTAACCTATTTATTATTGTGATGCAAAGTCGGTTGTTACTTAAGTTATAGCAATTAAAATTAAAAAAATTTGAATTTAGTCAACATTTCGAGAACTATAACTCCAATCAAATCGAACATTTCAGAAAATATGTACGGAGGATTTAAAAAATAGTAAGTATTCATTTTGTGTTTATCGATAGAGGCCGTAAACTTTTTTCTTTAAGTTCCTGCAGTGTATTTAAACAGTTAAATTGTTGTACCTACTAGTTGAAACTCAAAAAACCCATTCAGTGACACTAACTAAAAGATTGAAATCTCAATTAGAACAATTTTTAATATGTTATTTTTTATTATATAATTTTTCAGTTTTAGAAAACAGAAAAATTTTTTTCTTAAACTTTTACCTTAATTGCCTTTTCAAAATATTTTTTTATATTGAACCAGTTAGTACAAATTCTTTTCAATCCAGAATTGAAATAGATCACCGAGAGAAAAAAAAATCGATTTAAATCATCAAAAATATGCTCAGAAAAGTAAATAAAATAACTTTTTCTATAATCTCTTGGTTTGATAATATAGCATCACAAAAAAAAGTGAAGCTCCTTTAGGAAGCAGTTTTCGAGATTTCAAACTTACTTGAGGTTTCAGTAATTGGAAGAACTTTGGAATTCATGATCTCATTGGACCGTAACCTCTTAATCCTATAACCTCATATCTTATAACCCCCTAACCTCATAGCCCTATAACCCCTTAACCCTATAACCCTTTAACCCCATAACCTCTTTTTGAACAATTTTGATAGCAAAAACTCACGATCACTGATTGTACAGTCAAGAAAGTACTATTACGATTTTTCAGTGTGGATACAAAGAGAAAAAATACTCCAGATTATAGGTCTACAGAGTTAACAGGACTACAGATTCAATTCCTTAGAGTTTCGTCGTTATACACCCTCGTGAACTCAGGGTTATGGGGTTACGAGGTTATTGGATTTTGGGGTTATTATATAATTTTGCACCCCTATATGTAATCTATGTCCCACAGAATTTCGTGGTTAACATATTCGCACATCCCAGGATGCAAGGGGTTATAGGGTTAAGGAAACCTGCCGACCAATGGACTATATGACTATGATGTTCCCACAGAATTCTATTGTTCTATACTTTCGCACGTCCCAAGTTATAGGGTTGTAAGGATATGAAGCAATGAAATCATGAGTGGACTATATGACTATGATGTTCCCACAAAATTTCATTGTTGTATACTTTAGCACATCCCAAGTTATAGGGTTGTAAGTTTATGAAGCAATGAAATCATGAGTTCGGATGTTCTTTCTATCACTGACTACTCAAATCAGTTTGAAATTTCGAAATCCGCTAGGGGAGTCTCTTAAGAGTCCACCACGCTCTTGTATAAACCCATATTGTGCGCTCGGTCTATAACATTTATTTGGAAAACAAATAAACATAGCGGCTGTTGTGTAATAGTTTTTCAAAATTAATTTTGTATTATGTAAATTTAAAGAGTAGACTGTGCGACAAATCGTCATATTTGCAATTTATTTACTTAAAAATAAAGGCTTGAATTAAAAATTGCTTACACGAGAGAAGCGGGTATACCTTTTAGCTTTGCAATGATACCAAAATGTTATCGATTTGATAAAAATTACTCAAAATTCTATGCTAAATCCCAAATGTCTACAACTTCAGAAACGAATACAGGGTCGGAAAGTCCCCATGGTTCATCGGCTGTTACGTGAGAGCGATAAAGAAAATCATAGAAATCCGTGCGATAGAGAAAGATGGCTATAATGAAGGCGTCTAATAGTCACCGCCCATTTCACCCTTCCACAAATAAAATGGGCGGTGACTATTAGACGCCTTCATTATATCCATCTTTCTCTATCGCACGGATTTCTATGACTTACTTTATCGCTCTCACGTAACGGCCGATGAACTATGGGGACTTTCCGACCCTGTACAGTCTAATTTTCAACCATGTATATTTTACTCACTGGGATGGGCTTAGAGATTGGTAATTGCGGGCAGGACCGGTGTTCAAAGAACTATCTAGTTATATTCTACGATCTCAATTGAGACAGTATTAAATTCGATCAAAGTTACGTTTGTCTTCACGTCGAAAGAAATTAATAGTATTGCTAAATATAATACAGGTACTTAAATTTTATAATGTTATATTTATAATAAATTTTATATTTCAATGATTTTAAAATAAACTCAGTTGTAGACGTTTTTCAAACATATTTTTGGCTCATTTTATTTAACAGTGGAATGTGTTGGTGCAGCATATTCAAAATAATCTACTATGGGAAATTCGATACAAAGGATAAATGACCGTTGTGATAATTGTACCAATCAGAATGTAGCTGTACGCTACATTTACATTTAGTACCTGCCCCAATAAATATATTTTGCTTTCTGGGAATTTACGAGCCATATAAATTTTTCTTTGAATTATCCAAGATTATCCCAAATAAATGTATTTAGCAAATGAGATTAGAATAAGTAGGCTGTAAACATAAATTAGTTGTTGTTTATTAGGGTACATAAGCACAAACCGAGTAGGTAATGGCCCGGATAAGTGTTAATTACGATAGGGTAATAAAAGTAGGTACCTGGAGACAAGGATAAAAACCGAAAACATTTTGAGGCACGAACCAGAAGTCTTGAAGCCTAGTTCCTGCTCGGTTGTGTCTCGTGTTACCAGCGAAATTAGTAGAATAAAGTTTTCCCTGCTACTTAGAGTTTTTCTCCTCACTTGAAGGCCAAACCACTATAAGAAGTTGATACAATTTTATGTACGATCGTACAACTTACCCACTAACGTTACAATTTTACATACAATTCGTTTCTGAGTTAGTACAGGTTTTGATTTATGACAAATAAAATCTCAAAAAGACAAAACATGTGCATAATTTTAGCTGGAACAGTGACTGCAGTGTTACATAGAAGCAAAAATTAAAAGAGAAGAAGCATTAGAAAATGAAATTGATTTCCGCGGGATATCAGTCATTCAATTTTGCGTTGCGACGAAAATTGTTTGTACAGCTTCAACACTAACGGAACAATAATTGTATCAATTCGAAATTTATCCAATTATTGAAATAAAAATTGTAACGTTAATGGCTTTTTAAATCAATCTAAATATTCTAAATATGTCTACCGTAAAATCATAGACACATATTCTTAATATTAGGGTCAACACAACCCACTTTCTTTTGTTGCAATGTGTAATCATGTGTAAGCAAAAAAATTATTCTTCCAACTAATGATTTTTATACTAAATTAAATGGTGTTTCATTAATTTTTGTCCAAATAGTAATAAGTGAATAACAAAACCTGTAGTCATATTTGCATCATCAGTAAGATGTAACAAGAGCCCTCTATCAATGAGCCAAAAATGAATATTATTTTTGAGATTTTCGTACTAAAAAGCATATCATCTGGAATTTGAATGACTTATCTCAAACGGTATGGTTAGTAATGAAGTGCGTTATATATTATGTATAGTATAGTGTTTTTTATTAATTAATTTATTTATTACTTGGTTGGTTTTTATTACAAGATTTTTGGTTAGACATAAATAATTTCGTAAAAACAACCCTTGACCGACCATTTTGACGTAAGGGTTTATTTAATTATTTCTTTAGTTTTTTCACGGGTGGCAAAATACCAATTGAACAGAGAAAAAACTGTGCCGCAGATAAATAACTTCACACAATACGCAATGAGATTAATTGATTTTGCAAAAGGGATAAAGAACTTTCCTATT